TTGTTGTCAAACTGCGACAGTATTCAATTTGTTGCTTATAGGGTTAAATCACTGAGCATAAATGCTACTTAGCATTAGCAAGCGGGCTGAAAGGCTAAACTGCGTGGTCGTTATCGATAAAGTGGGATTCTCTTTATTTTCTTTTGTTCGACAGTAAACTACAACTGGGGGTGTCGTTAAGTAGCTGAAAGCCTTTTTTTCGGAGGATTGTTGTCAAAATTAATCGAACAAACTGCTGCTTGTTGTGAAGTGAGTCACGATCACCATAGAGCGCTCATATCTCAAATCTGCGCTTCTTTTCTCAAAATCTTGTAAGTTGAGTGATTTATACCTTCAGGTACTGTTGTATGCTATTGTATAAAGTAAAAAAATAATAAAATAAAATGAATAAAAACTGGAAAATGGCAGTAACCGACTTTCACCACCGCCTGCCCATTCTTGAAATGTCATAAATAAACTACGGACCACCTATATTTTACTTCAGACCTCTAAAAAAACAACATTCCATTAAAATATATCGTGAATTGGGGGGTTGTGAGATGTTTGACAGATGTGGGTCAAACGTCCGCCATCTTGGAGTTCCTTTCAAAAAAAAGCTTTTCCTGGTTTCTTGTTTTAAATGGCTCCCGGTCACGTGAGCTCACCTTAATGTGGAAGTATGACTTGGGGGAAGGGGGGGGTGAATTGAGGAGGGGGGGGGGTTATCTCCATAAATCCCCAACACGTAGACCGCCGTGGGTGCCGAACTCTAGTGGGAAAAGTGCGGAGCAGCCAACAGGATGAGGTAATTACGTGGGCCGGGGAGATGTTGGTTGTGCGAGTGGAGGAAGGAGGCGGGGGGAGGGGAGACCTGTTGCAAATCAGCGTCTCCAGACTAAACAAAAGAATCTGGGGTTGCTCGCCTTTTCTTTGTACGCTTTGGTGCTAAACTTTTCAAGCCATTCTCCCACGCTTCTCCAAACCAAATATCATCGACTGTTGACCAAAAAAAAAAATCACGTTCAAACACAATTGGACACTTTCGCCTGTGGTACGTTACGCGACTCAAAAGTTGTGTTCTTTTGTGTGCGGAGGACACGCGGTGAACAAACTTCCAACAATGAGGTCAGCCACCCAAACACGACTTCCAGTAGCTCCCGTGACACGTTTTTAACAAAGACAAACCGCTCGCGTCGAGAGTTTTACACTTTATTTAAGCGATTGGAGCAATTTGTTAAACTAACAGTAAACGTTAAAACACATTTAACAACTTTTCGACCAAACTCCGTCGGGAAAGTGGCACACTCCCGCACTTGCATTCAAACTTGACAAAAAAAGCGCAGCTAAACCCACGCGCGGACGAGGAGATTTCAACCCGAAAAACAACGGAGGAACATTCGGCGTTGTTTTCGCCTTGTTCCGGTGATGAATTCGGACGCAAATCAGCAGAGAACAAATGAGTGTATTTCGGCTGTGACGTCGAGCCAGCACATGGCACTCACAGCCTGTCATGTCTGCACCGTAGACAATAGACTCAGAGGAGGGAAACGGCAACAGAAAGCCTCCCCTTTTCCTCGTCGTTAAGCATCCTAAACTACATTTCTTCACCACATCTTACCTTTTTTCGTCTTCATTTCCCCCCCCCACTCCCGAAAGCCCACTTTGATTCTCGCGTGGAAGAAAAGAAGCAAACGTCCCCGCGGCGGTGATCTTCTGCTGCCTCAGCGTTGTATCCAAATGTTGCGAAGAATCCTAATTCATCAAGAAGACAAAAATGAGGGGAAATGTATCCCGTTTTGTTGAGGGGGGGTCTGTTAGCGCGTGCTGGTCCGTGGCGGAGGTAGGCAGGCTGTGTGTTGGGGGGTGGTGTTGGCGCTGGTGTGGGGGGGGTCACCTGCGATCTCTCTCTCTCTCTCTCTCTCTCTCTCTCTCTCTCTCTCTCTCTCTCTCTCTCTCTCTCTCTCTCTCTCCCTCCCCCTCTCTCTCTCCGCGAGGCTTTTTGCTGTAGACTGCGTTGTGTGTTTGATGGGGGGGGGGCAGGGTGACAGCTATCTTTGACAGCTGCGTGACTCAACCCACGGAGGATGCTTCCCCCTCCCCTTTTCCCACCGCCCGCTGACATCAGCTCAGCTCGCCCCTCTCCGCTCCACTGACACACAAAAACAAACAAACAAACAAACAAACAAAACGTGGAAAACCAAGCTACTGCTGTTTTTAACCCCCGTTCTGGCAACCCCCAGCCCCCGCCGTTCGTCTAATTATGGCTTTCGTTCTACGTAACTCTGAGCTTATATGTGTTTGTGTGCAGTAGTGGTTGCTGCACTAGTCAACACGTCAAAAAAAAAAAAAAACAGTGAAAGATCAATGCCCTCATTTGTATGCGCCGCACAGCCATGCGACAGCTGCTCAAAAAAAAAAAAGCTATGGGCAAGCTTTCATGAAGCAACGTGTCGCCCCCTTGTGGATGGTTGTGGGAGTGAACTCAGGAAATGAAGCGAAGTACAATTTCGGGTATCTGTCAACAAATATAAGCACGTGCCAAATTTGAGATGTTTTTTTTTTAATTTTCTCAGTCCTTTTTTTAAAATTGGAATCGATGGAAACATATTTAATCAGCAAAAGTAGAGTGTCTTCTCCTCTACTATTTAATGGTAGGTCAGTGTTCCTGTTAAGTATTTCATTATTTAATTGTAGAGTTGTTTTACTCTTTGTATTGTTCAATAAGCACCTAAAAATGCATTTGCTATTTTTTCCTCTTTCACTTGAGCAGGTGTGGGGTTTTTTTTGGGCGTGTCAACTAAAAATTTGGCCTGCAATATAAAGCAAAAAAAAAAAAAAAAAGACATCAACCAGGTGGCAGCTCGAAAAACTCATAGGTTGGGACACTTGCGGATTTCTACTCCTCACTTTGTCAAAATAGGCTTGTTACTTTTTCCCAATGTCCACGGCTGACGCGATTCAACAAAAACTGAATGAAAAGAGGTGAAGTCAGTTGCGAGATGAAGGAACATGAACTTCGGAGCATGAACGAGGAGGACACAACAGATTTGGAGAATCAGGATTTAGATCAGAGAAGTGTATGTAGTCAGCGCCAAGAATTATTTGTGGATTATCCTATTTTTTTTGGCATCATATGACGATTCGTGTTACCAACTGCGTGCAACATAAGAAGTAGGTAAGTAGCTAGGCTGATTATTGTTGTCCTGCCTCATTGGTTTTTAAACAACTATTGACTGTAATTAAGACATAATTAACTACTGCATTAGTGGTAGATGAAAACATGTTCTGATTTTGAAAGTATGGCTGTCGCTGCCCATGTTGCACTTTACCCAAAAAAACTAAATGATTATTCAAAAATCTTTAGAATTTGTCGACATTTATTTGAGAAGCTTACATTTATTGAAAAATTTACTTCAATTTTTTTTTGCTTCAGTTAGTTTTTTTGTTTCCTTACTGTGCCGTAACTTACAGAGATCCTTGTTATATCGCTCCCAGCTCCACCCCTATTTAATATCAATATTTAAGTGAAATTGCAGGCATAATAATAAAAGTTATTTATCGTTTCTTACTCCTGCCTCACCTTTTAAACTGTAGAATCACTTTGTTTTTTTACTTTGTACAATGTGGATGACCTCACCCATGTAGTATTGAAACAATGTGGTGATACAGTCCCTATATTTAGAATTAAATGGTGTCGGTACAATGTGCGCCATCGTTCAGTGTAGAACAGTTAAAACCGTCGTGTGTAATGTTAACATTTAATTGCCCCGCAAAAGCATCACTATAGTGACAGAAACACTTTTTATTAGGCCACCTCATGTGTTTATTTTATAAATCAATAACCAATGGTCTCATTCAATTGCTCAATGGCTAAAATTATTTTTCGTAGAGAGCTTAAGTGTACTTGATTTTGTGTTAACGCGCTGTATTCACTTGAAGCGTTATTACACAACCAGGCTGACGTACACATATTTGACATTGATAGCCAATTGATGGCGTTCCTTCACATAGCACCGGAAGTAAAGCTGTCAAGCGCGCAAGATATGGTGCATTTATACTTATCAAAATAAAAAAATCGTTAGAATGTCAACCATACTGGCACAGTTTGTCATTTTTATGAAGGCAAGTGATTCTCAATCTGGGAGCTACTTGAAGTTGATTTAGGATTTTTTTTTTCTTCCCTCGTCTGGATGAGCATGAAACAAGTCGGCGCTCCAGTGCATGTGGTGGTGGTGGAATTGTCCTCCTAAAATGTGAGACAATGCAACTAAATGTTTGAGTTACGACTGCATCTGTGACCAAACACATTTGCAGATTATTATTTTTTAAATTCTTGAATATTTTTTTTGTTGCTGCTGACAAACATGCCCCCCCCCGCCATATATATTGTAATGCCCTTCAATAGCGGAGAGAAGGATGCACGCAGTCCCTGATACAATTCGTCGTTATTTAATAAACAAATAAGCAGTAAACACACTCATTCAAAGGAGTTGCTGTTAGCCACAACTCACGCCCATGCGCTCTACACTCAGACTGACTATCGGAGCCAATATTCCCCCAACCTGGCTCCCCCCTTTCTATGACGTCACACCAATACAAGAAACAGATACTACAATATAAATGGGCACAAATTCAGTTGTAAATGAAATGCTCACGAAAAAAGTATATATATATATATATATATATATACACTGTACACACAGTTAAAGGCTATACTAAAACTAACTAATAAAAAAACAAAACTACAACAAGCCATTCAAAAATAAATTAAAAACAAACAAACCTCCTCTAAAAACTAACTAAAGCTAAATGAATTAAAAATAAAAGTCAGAACGAAAACTATTATCACACCGGTCTAGTTGAAAGAGTCGAATACGTACATCTGATTTTATCTAGTTCTGGACAAGTATTTGTTGTACTTCTACTTAAGTAGAGCGTGCGAGTACTTCAAGTACCTGTATCCATGAACAATTGTTTTATTTTGAAGGCGCCGCAAACGGATAGACAGCGGTCGTCACCGGGTCTGGCTTGACAAGTGTTTTACAACCGCGGAGCTCGGGTCTAAGCTCGTTGGGAGGTATCCCGTGTCGGTGAGGGTCCCGAAGTATCGAGTGGCCCCCACCCCCCTCTCTCCTCCCCTTTCGCTATCCGGAACAGAGGGGCGCCGACGTCAAAACTTTCTCTACAACTTCGCCAAGTCGATGTCGGTGACAAGCGGCGGTATTTTTAGTTGTGGCCGTCATCGCGCTGTGACTGGCTGGCTGTGGGCTTTCTATAAAGGACGCGCGACTCGACATGCAGCTTTACAACAGCGCCTTGACGCACTTCCCGAGATCGTCCCGCAAAGTCACCATCGCTTTATCCGGCGGAACCGCCACCCCGCCTGAGGAAGACTCACCTGGACCGAGCCAGCCGGATCTGACTGCTCCTTCCGCAAACATGCCTGCTTTTTCTTGCTACGAAGCCTCCCCCTCCTCGAGGCCCAGGCCTGTTTATTTCACATCCACTGCCGAGTTACTTATACGAAGAGCGGACGGAGTGGAGAGGACGGTACCGGTCCAAATCACCAGGGTGTCCAAACCTCCATCCCCTGACGACGAACTGGTCGACTTTATCGATGAGCTCAGGAACAGGACAGATGGACTTTTTCTCGAGGACCCCCCGGAGAGTCTTCTGTTTGCGAATGAGGCGAGGAGTAACAGGTTGGTGCCCGAAGAAGAGCCTTGTGGCGATTCACCAGAACCCCTCCGGAGTGATGAGGGGGCAACATCCGACTTCGAGTTGAGCGTCCTGCAGGAGCAAAGCGTCGACGACAAGGTGGCCCGCGATGACAAGGTGGCCCGCTACTTGGCCGAGGTGGAAACGCAGAATAAGTACCTCCGTGAGAGACGCAAGTTCCGTTACCACATCATCCCGGATGGTAACTGTCTCTACCGAGCTGTGTGCAAAGCCACGTACGGGGACCAGGCGGGGCACGGCGAGCTGCGGGAGCGCACGGTGCATCACATCGCCGACCACCTCGACCAGTTCAACCCGGTGATCGAGGGCGACGCCGGCGAGTTCCTCATCAACGCGGCGCAGGACGGCGCTTGGGCCGGATACCCCGAACTTCTCGCCATGAGCCAAATGCTCAACGTCAACATCCACCTGACCACAGGGGGCAGCGCCGAGAGCCCCACCGTGTCCACCATGGTGCACTTCCTGGGCGAGGAGGACCCGTCCAAGCCGGCCGTCTGGCTGAGCTGGCTGAGCAACGGACACTACGACGTGCTCATGGACACCTGCGCGGACAACCCCGAATACGAGGACTGGTGCCGACACTCCCAGATGCAGAGGAGACGGGACGAGGAGTTGGCCAAGTCCATGGCGGCGTCCTTGTCCAAAATGTACATTGAGAAAAACGGGGCGGTGTAAATGCAGAGTGACTGTTTGTTTTGTGCCTTAAGTGATATCATTTTTTTTTTAAAATATATATAAGATGTATGAGTTTTAACCAAGTGCTGTGCACATATTTGACTGTTTGCTACCATGGTGACTTGAGTGGATGTAATTTTATGCCAGTTCAGAAGTTTTTTTTTGGGGGGGGGTTGTTGTCACAAATAACTGATGATTATTTTTTGGATCATTGCGACTGTTTTCACCCTCAAATAGCTCTCGCAGAACTATTTTTTGAAAATTCCCAAATAAATCTTGAATATGTTTTGGGAAATCTTGAAAAGTGCTACTTTCCTTGAACTAATACAACAACCCCAAAAAAATGTAGATTTATTTATTTTTTTCTCCATGAATCCATCTGACTCGTAAAAAACAACAACAAAAAAAAAACTTTGGGGAATGCACAAGACCATTCCTTTGAAAGCTTTTCCAAATATGACTCAAAAGAAATCCTACCTTCCTCACGTAAATACATTGTCACAAACGTACTTCTTTTTGTTTTAATTTTTATTTTTATTTTTTTTATGAATATAACAATGCTGTTTTGTTTTTTTGTTTTTGCCGGGGGGTATGGGATCATAATATGACTTTATAAACACATATCCTGTCTTGATCATGACTACTTTTTCTAAAATGAAAATTATAAAATACAAAACAAATCCAACCATCTTGAAAAATACTTTTTCCTCGAACGGAATCAAAAAATATATATATTTTCAGTGTGGCTTTAACCCTTTTATGCACCCTGTAACCTGATCACATGATAAGCTGTCCACTGTAGTAACCGCTGTACCCGCCTTAACATAACTAAAACGCGACATATTTCTTGCTGTGCTGCTTTCGAATGCTTGGGACCGAATATTCTGTAAACTGCTTTGAATGAAGCAGGCGCACATTTTAATGGCAGAGTGCCTTTTTTTTTTTTTTTTTTTAAATTCAAGTTTGTTACAATAGCTCTATGTGAAGATGTATATCCTCGATGATGTGTTTGACTAAGATGACCTTTCAGCTGACAATGTTCAAGAAAGCTTTCTCGAATGCCCGAGTGGGTTGCGGGGTCATCGCGATCTAGTTGACAACGGTCACATCCGGTGACTTTTCTAACCTTTTTTTTATTTCTCTCTGCAATCGTTGCACAATAAAAAGTGTATTTATACGTGATACATCCGTGTTTGACTCACTGCGTGTCTCCGTAGAATTCTTGGAAGTGGTTTTTGGGGGTCAGGCGGCCTGTCATGTTTGGGAGTTTTGTGAAAAGTTCCAACAGCGTATTTTTAACTTCAATGATGTCAATACTTTGCCAACTGGGGGAATCTGCTAACTCGTGATTGGAAAAAAAAATCTCAGACACATTGTTGCCAGCTAAGCAATTTTGTTGTTACATTGAATTCAACTCCTTTTGAAACGTTGATATTTGCTGGTCATTTTATTCTCCTTCCACTAGAGGGTGCTGTTGACCCCAAATAAAAGCATCCTGAAAAACTGGTGGTCTCAAATATTTTACGTACCACCATCATGATCACGATTAAAATACAGTAGCATACTCGGTGTAAGTCTTAATAAAAAAAATCTGCGTTTATCTATATATATGAAAACACATTTAGTGAAATTTGGACATTTCAGTGGGCTGCGTAGAAATTTTTTCAAACATTTTTTTTTTGTCAAGTGGGAAGTCAATTGTTTATTCAATGACACCAATAAGGGAAACATTTTGTTTTCTATTATTGTGAAAGTACATCTACAGTCACGTGACGTGCACAAGCTAATGTAATACAATGCATGAGTTGGGGGCGGGGGATAAGTTGTAGTCTAACAATGTTATGGACGTTGTAAATAAAACAATAATGCATGTGGTTAAAAAATAAATAAAAGACTGATGTGCATTTGTGTTTGCAGCGCGTGTGGCGTCCTTCTGCGGAGCAGCGATGGTGGGGGCGGAAGTGGCCGCCTGCGAGCGAATTGGAACGCGGCCGGCCCGACGCAGCTGAGCTGGGCCGATGAAGTTCAGTTCGCGGAGTCTTTCAAAAAAAAAAAAGGGGGGGGAGGAAAAAAAAAAGGGAAAGTGGAGAGTAAGAGCAGCAAGCAGTCGGCGGTGGACAACATTTGGACATGTCGCGACATCGCGTGCAGTTCGCGGACCTTCCCGCCACGAATGACCACAGAGGCGACGGCCAATTTCACAGTAAGGGACTATTTTATTTATCCGCTAATTGACCTTGATTGTTAGAGACGTACCACTCAGTTCGGTGTTGACAGTACACTGCCTTTCACGGTGTTCCCAATCAGTGGTTGACCACATGTGGAACTGCCCATGCTACTTGGTCATCATATTTTCTTTTTAGCAATAATATTAATAATATAATATTCGGCAGTCAATCATTTAGTTGAAGCGCGCCAAATTTCCACTGAGCTAGTTGAGGTTGCTTGCACACCAGAGGATGTGTTGTTGTGATTGTACAGTATATTCAGTACATAATTAAGGCGTGTATGGAGTAACAGGGCCGCTGCTCGACTGTCAAGTCGTTCTGATGTTTCCCTCAAGAAATCATGCTCAGTTGTGATTTTAACGTCTCGATTTTGGCATTTCTGTGTGGCGTTAAAATCTTATGGCTTCCTTCCACACGGTGATCTGTCGGTGATGACTCAAAATTGACAAAAGGTGTGAATGGTTGTTGGCTCGCTACCGGTCCAGGGTGCATCCCGCCTCTCAAAGTTTAGCTGGGATAGCCTCCAGATAAGCGAAAAGTGCTTTTATGCTGTCTGCTTGGTAAAATTAATGGAACCGATCAACTATGAATTTTTTTGGTGCGCTCCTGGCTAATAGTGAAGTAATTCGCAAAGAACTATGTTGATGCCTGGACAGCTCATCATTTGAACATCTTTGTACCTGATTGAGGAGCCAAGTTTTACCTGTGTTATTACCGATGTTACAGAAAGCACATCTGTACTTCCAGAGCAATTCTTCCAAAAAAAAATGACGCTTGAATTTTACTGTCAAACTAAACAACCCCAAAAAAATGAACAGGTGTGTTCAAAACAACCACGTAAATATGCCATCACGCTAACACATAATGGGAAACACCATAGTTGGGCTCAGGGTCACCATGGAGTGATTCCGAACACACAGCCGCCGCTTCTGAACATATTTGCACCCCACCCCCTCCAAAAATGAGATGAAGCATCTTCCTCTTTCACGCATTGGGTTAAAATAGTCATCAAGTTGTTTGATACGAGCAACGTTTTGATTCAAGTTGCATTCGCCTCAGCATCATTAAATCATTGAAGTTTGGAAGCCACCTCGCCGAAAAAGCCCTCCTTCCTCTCTCGCCTTCCTTTTTTTTCGATGCGAGTCAGCAGCACCGGCGCAAGCATCCCGGCCCAACGCTCATTGGAAGTGGCAGCTGCCCTTTGCATGCTCCCGCCGTCCTCCCTCCTCAGGTGTCCTCTCACGTCGACTCCAAGTAGGATGACGCGCCTCCCGAGACCACCTCCTCGCCCTCAAAGTGTCGTTTGTGTTTTTTGTTTTTGTTTTTTGGACAAGGCACCCGTGATATTTTACCTCCGTGCTGCAGTCTAGCAGCAACAGGCGGGACATGTTGGGTTGTATCGCCATGGCGACAGGCCAAGTGTCGGGCCAGCTTAAAACGTAATGGAAAATTGCTAACGCAACCCTAGCGGAGAGCGTGATGTCATCTCCGGTGGCAGCGATTGTGTTTTTGTGTCGTGTGTGTGTGTGTGTGTGTGTGTGTGTGTGTGTGTGCGCGCGCACGAGGGCAGCTGGCTGACAGATCTCCGGCCATCGCCGGCAGCTCTTCATCACTCCCGATGACCTCAGGCGAGGTGACATTAAACTGCAATCTCATTTCCACTTTCTACTGTGCAAAAAAACAACCCCAAAAAAACCCCCAGCTTTGTTTTGTTTTGACATATGTCAGCTAAACTTTCTAACGGAACACCGTGGATAGTGTTTAGCATCTCCGTACGCTAAACTATGATTTGTCGGATTGACCTCGAACCGGGAATCTGTGGCCACCCACGGGGGATGTTCAATCTCGTTTTCTGATGCAGATTTTTCGATTTTGGCATGTAAACGTCTCTGATCCTTGGGAGTGATTGACATTGAATAGAAGCGTGGCAGAGGGAGTGACAGGCTGTCGGTCTTGAGCGTCAGTCGAGCAAAAGCGGCGCAATGTCTTTCAATAAGCCGGCTTTAAAGCCCCCCGCCCCAAAACAGCTGCTGAGTCGCCCGCCTTCATCATCTCCGAGGTATTTGAGGACGGGGCGTCAACAGCCTGCGGACAGTAAGATAGTCCTTCTCGATCGGACGGCCGAGGGACGATCGTGCTTTATCGCTCAATCTGGAGCATGAAGAGCAGAGCAGAGGCGGGGCGGCGTGGAATTTTTGTCATCAATCATTTGTCTGAACTTCACAGGAAGCCACTCCAAGAGGCGCACCCCCCCCCCCCTCCTTCCCCCTCGCCGCCGTCCCGTGTAAAGTCACGGGACTTTGCTCGCTGAGCCAAATTAAAAGACCCAAGAGCGAACGAGTATTTTCGTCTCTCAGAGCAAACCACCTGCTTGTCATTTCAGCCGTTTCAGCCCTCCGTGTTTGTGAGTCCGCCTCGTAATATTTCATTGTTCACATGCGGCGCTCTCCATCATTTCGGGGGGGGAAAAAAAAATTCACGACTGCATTTATAGGTCAGAATTCTTACTCTGAACTTTTTTTTTCCCTCTCACACATGGATACTCTCTTTTTAGAAGGTTTTGGTTGTCCAGTCAAAGGGATTTAGATTGGAGATGTTAACACACAAACAGATTTTGTTCACTTTTTCACACGGATGTCTTTTCAAAATAGCCATGACTTTTGATCAAACAAGTCGCACGTTTTACACAGAATCCAGCAAAGGCGCTGTGTTGGTGGAGGGAGACATCTAAAGAAGGTCGGGTAGCGGCCCTTGAGGATCGGATTTGGGCACTCCTCATCTCGACATTGCCGTCTCGCTTACCGCTCTGATTAGGATTTGCACCAGTTAGTAGACTCGTCAACCAGTCTGACTTTTCTACCCTGACGTTTAACATCGACTATTCGCTAATTACGCATTTTTTGGCATCAGCCACTTGCAAGTAAGATTATGTTTGTCCATACCTTGAAGTAAGAAAATGGACCCGGGAGATTTTCACCCTCCCATGCACCAATAATGACAACCTGTAACCTGATAACATGATAATCCGCCCGCTGGAGTACGACGCTGTCCCTCAAAGGGTTAAACACCTGCTTCCACGGCGGATGAAGCGCTTCTCTCTTAAGGGCTCTTAAGTTGCCCTTTTTGTGAAATGCAAAGCGTCAACAGAACGCCGTGGCCTTCTCATTCCTGAGAGCAGACTGATGCTGCTGTTTTTTTTTTCTTTTTTTCGCACTGGCACTCAGGTTAAAAAAAAAAAAAAAACAGCAATGACCTTGAGGTGATTTTGTGAACAGTTGCTCGAACGGCGTATTGTTCTGTTTGTCCGTAGAAGGTTTTGTCAGCGTTCTCGACTAGTTCATGTCTTTTTACTGAACCTTAATTCACGTCGAAGCAAAACATCTGATTGATTTTCGAGGGGTGGCAATGGTCATCGTCATTCTTCTTGGCCGTTTCCT